CACTACTCCAATAAATGAGATTTTTGGTTGTGCAACCACTCGGATCCCTCCCCACCATGGGAGGGATCCACTCAGCCCTGTAGCCAGTCACATCACAGAAGAGCCACTGTGATACATTGTCCAGATGCCCCCTCAGAGGGGCCTTTGAGCAGATGGCCTTCAGCTATTTCCAGGATTTTGTGGCTACACAGACTCTCCCACCCCAAGCCAAGTCCCTCCCAGGCCAGCCTCCATGTGATGACTGTGGAAGGAGGCCTGACAATCTCACCAGCCTGGGACAGCTCTAGGGGCCAAGCTCACTCTAGAGAAGAGGCTGTCCTGGGGACTTCTTGCAAAGCAATCCTCCTTCTGCCCCTTCTGTTTCTCTCACCTCCTTCCCTCCATGGGTACTGTTCCAAGGATATTGCTTAATAAGTACCCTGCATGACACACTCCCTCCCTCCCCTTCTGGGAACCCAGTCTATGACTTTAAGTCCTAAATACACAATGACAAAATTCTATAACCTGTCAATTCCTGTGAATTACATCCTCACAGAAGCCCAGGACAACAGTTCTGACTGTAGCAATCTTGCTGAACTCAAACAGCCTATTTTTAAAAAAGTCAAGGGATTCTCATCATGATCACCCCTCCAACTATCTCATCAGCCCCACAGCATGGACTCCCCCACCCCACCTGGACCTCTCCTTGAATGGGTCTCACAAGGTTGAAAAATCTGATAGGCCCTGTCAACCATCCAAAGGTATTTGCCCTGGAGCTGAGACCTTGTCCTGCTTTGTGAAACTCAGTGGGCTCCCACTAAGCTTGGGAAGGCCCCCAAACCATTTGAAAGCTCCCAGGTCAGTCCTGCAGAATAGAAGTAGGAACTCTGAGCCTCCTAGCACTCTCTTTCCTGTGGACTTGCACTTCTGCTCACTGGGCCTCTGCTTGCTGAGTTTGCTCCCCGAGAGCCTGCCACACCCCAGGAAGTGGGTCTGTCCATCCTGCTGCAACAAAGCTGCAATGGGGGCAGGTTTCTTCATTTTCTCAGCTCTTCAGCTGCAAAACGAAGACCAGCCTGGGAAGAGTTTGTAAAAGGCAAACCAGAATCACTCCTAACATGTTCGCTATGGTTTAAACTAAAGTGCCTAATAGAGTCTGAAGGTGGCCAAAATTCATGCTGAAGCTTAATCCCACTGTGGCGGTATAAAGAGAGGCCCTGGGGAAGCAATACATCATGAGCTCTGCCCACAGAGATGGATCATGCCTTATAAATTAGCTTAGGCTCCTTTGTTCCTTCCTTTCCTTTGCCACGTAAAATTACAACACTTTTCCCTCGGCTACAGCAACCAGGCACCAATCTGGAAGAGGACAGCAGTCCTCACCAGACACCAGACACTAATCCTGACAGTACCTTGATCTTGGACTTCCCAGCCTCCAGAAGAACAAGAATACATTTCTATTGTTTATAAATTACTCAGTCTGTATTATTTTATTAGTGCAGCACAAATGCACTAAGATGGTGCCCAACACAGGGTCTGGCCCTCCATACCAAAGCTACTATTAACCATGGTGATGACAGTCAAAGATGGGATAATCTATTTGTCAGCTTCTACTGCTCCTCCTCAGCTGATGCCCAGGCCTTCCTCACTGCTCTAAAACACTCTCCAGCCCAAGTATCACAACAGCACCCCCTAACCTCTGGTTTGCTTGGCTCTTGGCTTCCTCAGCAGGTAGAACCCTTGAGGCCAGAATCTGAGAAAAGGACTCCAAATCTTGTCCAGCTCACCCAATGTAGTGCTCCCGCCCATGCCCCAGCCTCTGACCCTTGCTCTCCAAAGGCTAACAGGCTCTGAATACAATCTGAGGTTCTCCTGGGCTTAGGAGGTAAGAACAAGATGTAAAAAGTAATTGTTACTCCACTTTTAACCCATCACCCATCAGCCTGCATAACTCAAAGCTAAGTCAAAATTCAGTGGCAGTAGTCCAGGATATAGCTGAGTGGTAGAGCACTATTTAGCATGCCCAAAGCCCTGGATTCAACCCCTGTACACACAAGTACGTGCATGCGCTTGCATGCACACACAATTCAAGCGCAGGGGAAGCTACAAGGAAGAGGTCCTTGTTAAAGTCTCCACAAATCTGCTGTATTCCTGTCCTATTCCTTCCCCAGCTTAGAAGTGGGCATAGTGACTTGACACACATTGGTTCTCCTGCTGCCAGATGCCTTCAGGACATACCAGTGTTGGTTATCCCTGCTGTCCATTCACTATGACATGCAAACAGCCAGTGCCAACACTACTCAACCCTTCTTTGCTATCCAGCTACTATAAATGCAAGAAACGTAATTTGCTACAAAATAAAAAGTGCTGCAAACGATAAGTTCCTAAAAGGCAACAACTGCTGCTTCTTCATCTTTTGTAGGCCCCATAACTGTGATAAGAGCCTTTGTACCTAAATATTGCAAAAAATTTACAAACGCAAATATGAGGGCATACCCTTACACACATACATTCTCACACACTACATATCCAAAGATAAAGTCTCCCTTCACTGACATGGCTAGCAGAAGTGTCTAAGGCTCCAGGACACTATGTGTTAACTGTCAAAAGAAATCACTTTGCAAAGGATTTGCTTTAGTCTATACCCTAAAGAAGAAGGGAAGACAATGGCAGCACACACAACAGGTCTTAGGCCTACTGACTCCTAGCACCTTATTCCTTCTGCTAGCACACTGGCAAGCCCCCAAAAAACACTGCCAGTGCATAAGGCACCATAGTCTCTGAGATCCTCCCATTATCATCTGCGAGGTATAAGTATTTCCCTAAAATCTTTTTGAACAAGTGTTTCCATTCAGCAGCAGAGAAGTGTCTCCAGCAAGCTTCACTTGGCGACAGCATGTAGAATCAGCTTCCAGGATGCTGCTTACCTTTGACAAGCAACTTGTCTCTCACCGAGACCCTCCGAGTGGAGTCAGACATGGTGGCTGACGTCCGGGACCCTTTGAGACCGTCATCCCGCTTCAGCTTGCTTGCCAGCGTTAGCATTACTGCCACCTTTACCCTGAAAGACCAGGGGAGAGCAGAGTCAAGACCATGCCTCTAGACAGCAATCAGATCCTGAAGGCACAAGACACAAGATAAAGACAAGACTAGATTCCTTCATAATGAACCTAGGAAAGTTCCATACCATCTTAACTTTTAAAGTGTGAATTAAAATATTTTAAAAGGGAGAGTAAGACACTTAATACTCAGTGCTTACCCCTCAGATGTCAGGCCCTGGGGTTGTATCAAGCATACAGTCTGGGGCGGGGGGGGAGGGCGGGGGGGGGCTCTACAGCTTCTCTACCAGCATGTGCCTGACACTGGAATCCAAACAGGTCCACTGTTCATTGAGAAGTCTGTTCTTCCCTGTAATAGGGTCATAGGTGTGGCTCAGGGGCTCACCCTTCAGGAACAGGGGGAGCAGCGAGGTGTTCCTTTCCTTCTTCCTTTAATAAAGGTATGAATGCAGCCTTCAAAGGATCTTTGCATTGATTTGTGCTATACTTTATTTACACTTGTGGCAACATCAACACCAACACTAAATTATAATTAATGCCCTAAATCAGATTCTCTTCACTGCCCAGAATTGAGCACATCAGTCTTGCCATAGCATCAGTGTCCCCTGATGATGGGCCAAGACACATGTCCATCACACAGTGGTCAGTCAGAGGCATCAGATGCCCCACATAGGGACCACCAGCTTTTCAACCTCTGGCTCACTTCAGTAGTGAAAATAGGGTAAGAAGTTAAAAATAAAATAAAAGCAGTGTGTGAAGAGGTCGTGGTCAGTCCTCCGGTGTTATACTGAAGAGCCCCATGGAAAAGCAAGCAGCGGACATAAGCCCTCCATCCCAGCTCCCTGAGGACCTGTACCAAGCAGAGCTCAGAAAGGCCTGGCAAGAGTCATCATTCTTGTGGAGAAGGGTGTCCACCAAGACCCTCTTCTGCACCGCTGCTGCCTAAGGCTGTGCTTATGAAGTTACCCTCATGCTTTTCCATTTGCTCACCCACACTGAAGCCTTCTCTGTGGCAGAGGCTAGAGGCCCCCCATGCAACTCCACTGACAGACCCCTGGCTTACTATCTTCAAGTTTACTAATAAAATGCATTGGGAGGGGACTGGGGTTGTTGCTCAGTGGTAGAGCACTTAGCCTGCGTGAGGCAATGGGTTTGATCCTCAGCACCACATTAAAAAAATAAATAGACAAAATAAAGGTATTGTTTCCATTCTATTTTTTTAAAAAAATAGCATTTATTTTTTAGTTGTGAGTGGACACAGTACCTTTGTTTTATTTTTACGTGGTGCTGAGGATTGAACCCAGTGCCTTACACATGCTAGGCAAGCGCTCTACCTCTGAGCCACAACCCCAGCCCTAAAAGAGAAACTCTTAAAAAAAAAAAAATACATTGGGAGGGCTGAGGTTGTGGCCCAGTGGTATTTACTTAGCATGTGTGAAGCACTGGATTCAATTCTCAGCATCATCAAAAATTAATAAATAAGGGTATCATGTCTATCTACAACAACACTAACAAACACATTGGGAACCCGAGTGCAAGTTTTAAAGAAAACAACACTGGTGTTTTGCCTTACATAAAGTAATACAAAATTTACTTTCCTAACATCCAAAGAAATATGACTATAGTGACCATCTATTTCTCTACCATCTGTGTCGTTATCACATGCCACTTCAAGGATAAACCAAAGGCCTAATTAGGAAATATTTCCACTGCTATAAAATTAAATCTATACAGAGATTCAAACAAAAACAATTACTGTCAAAAAGTTAGCTGAAAATCTGCAGTTGCTTCAGAACCTCCTCAATGCCTAAACTCTCCACAATCTGGTTTAAAATTAAACTTCCCCTTTCTGGAAAAGGACACTCTGACTAACAGCATTTTGGGAACAGATCAGCTATTCTGAATGGCATGCTCAGTCTCTAGGTTCCACAAATCATAATTGGCCCAGTTAAGTTCCTCCTCTGGGTGGGACCTGTTTTTAGTGTGTCCAAAGAAGAAGATTGTGTTATTTACTGGTCTAATCATCAAATGCTGCTTATTCAGCATTCCAGTGTGCTGTGATGAAATCGGGCCATGTCACCTGTGCAGGCCAACCAAGGACCAGTCAGCTCAATGTGAGGGTAACTTCATTTACAATTTTTCCACCATAGAGAAGCCCCAATCCAAGCATAAGAAATGCAAGCTGGTCACTAGGGGACGTTCAACTTCCCCAGCCAAAGGAGCCCGGATCAGGACACAAATAAGTCCAGGCCCCACCATTCCACAGAATGCCAGATCCCAGGAAGCTCCCGGCTGGCACAGTCTGGCTGGCCAACCACCCCTGGAGCCCAGGCGGTCTCATTTCCAGCAGGTACACCCGCCCCTCTCCCACTACCTGAATGGCAGGTATGTCCCCGGAGAGACCCCCAGACCCGCAGCACTCTGCCGCCTTCATCTCCCTCCCCACCGTCCCGCACCAACACCCTGCTCGTTTCTGGAAGCTTCTGTTCCACCTGACGGCCGGCCCGGAACGCGCTCCTTCCCTTCCCACCCAGCCTTCCCTTCCCGAAGGAGCGCGATTCCCACGGAGTCCGAGTCTTCCCCAAGAAGGGTCCCGCGCGGCGGCCGCACCACGGCCCACTCCGGCAGGGGCGGACCCGAGCCTGGCGCGCCCAGCCGCTCGGCGACAGAAGGGGAAACTGAGCCCGCGGGAGGCCACGCCCCGGCCGGAGCGGGCCGGCGACCGGCGCGGCACGGTGGCTTCGCCGCGGCGGGAAGCCGGCCTGGCCGCGCTCTGCCGCCGCGGCGAGCGAGGCGGCCACTTCGGCTCGGCCCGAGGCCCAGCAGCCCCCGGCCCGCTCCGCCGGCGGTGACCTTGCTGCCCGGCGCGGCCCCCGGGTGCTGGGCGCGGGCGTCCGGCCGGACCCCGCTCGCAGGCCTCCCGGCCTGGCCTGGTCCGGCCCGGCGTGAGGAGCCCGAAGGCCCCAAACCGGGGCCGCCGAGCCTCGGCCGCCCCTCACCTGGGCACCCCGAGACAGGCGAGGCGGGCCGGCACCCAACACCATGCCCAGCCGGGCGGCGGCGGCGAGATGCGGCCCCTCACAGCCGCACCGGCTCCCGGCGGCGGGACCGGAAGTAGCGGGGCGGGGACTCGGCCGCTCTCGCCCTCGGCGGCAGCGGGCGCTTTAAAAAAAAAAAATTCAAAGCCGCGAAGAACTTTATTTGCAACCTGACTCGCGAACAGCGGCGTGTGCCGCCCGGGGCGAGACTAGGCGAGGCGGACGCTCTGACCTCCCTGATTGGTCGAGGGGCGCGGCGGGAGGCGGGCATGGATTCGAGGTCCTCGCTGATTGGTCAGTGAAGTCCAAGGCGGGGCCTCCGAGGTAGTTCTGGCGCCTGAGAGCCAGGTTCCCTATTTCCATTCATTCGGCAATGTGCGGGGCTTGGGGGTTTGGAACTGATCAAGCGCCAAGCCGGAACTGACCGCTACCATGAGTGGAGCGCCCGGTGTGTCCAGGACAGTGACCAGTGGCTAGCCCCAGCAGCCTACAGTGCCTGGGCTATGACGTGGGCGGTCAGACGTGCAAATGACCACCCCGTGGGCCGGCGGAAGGGTGGGTGGCCCATTCCTGCCTTTTTTAGCCTTTCTCTGATCCGTTTAATACACATGCTTTAAAGATCTCTTTCAAGTTGCCCCACTTCTAGATTATGGGGTGCAAATTCTTCTCTTGTCCTTTAGTGTACTTGTGTGATTGACGGTGGGCAGCTCTGGGTGGGGTCCGGCAAGCTTCTGGAGTAGTGGGCCATCAAAAGATGAGGTTAACCACGAAGACAGGAAGAAAGAGCCAAAGAGTGAGACTTGTTTCCAAGAGCCCCACTGAATGATTTTAAAAGGTGACTGACAGGCTTGTTTTGTTTTGTTCTAACTCGGGGCCTTCCCCACACAAATCACGTGCTATACCACTGAGCTACATCCCCAGACCCTAGATTTTCTTTCTAAAAGAGGCTTTTGGATCTGTGAACTGGTGGGAGAGGAGCCAAGAGAATCCTCAATAATAACTCACATTCTTTCTTTTGTTTGGGAACATTTCTCCCTTTACCCAGCCAACTCCCAACTTTTCCTAAGCTTAGGCACCACTTTCCCAGAGAGGCCTCCAGGTCCAGGTCCCGGGTCTTAGGAGGGTACCTGTGTCCTGGGTGTCTTTGCCGGAGCCCTGCACTCTGGCTTCTTGGTGCTGAACAAGTGTTGTCATTGCCTAGAGCACATCTCCACCACACCATTAAAGAGGTTCGTAGCATAGAAGTTAACTAGTGAGATCAAAATAAACACACAGACTCAATTACCTTTTTCTATGACCAGGTCCGAGAAGGCTCTCCCCTCTGGCTACTGCCTCAAGCCACCTGATGGAGCAGCTATGTTTACTCAGGACTAAAAGGAGAGAGAGAGCACACCAGGGAGTGGCCTTTTATTGGGGAACAAGAAATTCAGGGGAAAATTCCATCCAATGAAGGTCGAGGGGGGCAGCATTCCAAGGTCAGGGTCAGTGATTGGCCTCAGGGTCAGTGGTCAGTCACACCCCCACACGGACAGGCTCTAGCACCTGGAGAGGGTGGGGATTAGCTCCCACACAGTTTGGCCAGAATGCCTCACACCCAATCAGGGAGGTGCCCAATCACGTGCGAGAATGGCTTCCCACACACACCCTGAGCACATAGCCTGTGCCCAGAACACATGTGCTGGGTAGATATTGCGAGAACGAGTGTGGAGTGTGGAGTCCTGGCAAGAGAAGATAAGGGCTAAAAGCAAGGCTGTGGGTGAAGGTGCAACTGGAGTGGCTTGGGCACCGCAGGAGAACCAGGTGCACTGTTCACTGGCCCACAAGAGCCTAAATCTGACCACCTCAGATGAATGACGCCATTTCCAGTCATCTTCTGAGGTACACCATGCCCTAAGACTTGGTTAGGGTCCACTAGTTCTTAGCTTCTTCATTTCTCACAACAACCCCATGAAACAGTTTCTTATTTCCATTTTAGAAACAAGGTGACTGAGGAACAAGTTGGATGGTCTGCCCAAGGCGGCAGAGCGAGTTGTGAGGTCAGGCAGTGTGACCGCCTTGTGCTCACTAGCACACTGACCCAGAGGCAGTGCTGATGCCAGATGTGCAAATAACCACCTGTTTATCTCCAACCTGCCTTAGCTGTAACACAGAAGATTCCAAAGACTGAATGTGTCCCCAGAGCCTGAGAAGGTCAGTTCTGGGGACCTGGCCAGGCGCTATTGCCTGTAGGCCTCTCTCCTCAGTCCTGGCCTCTGTGGGCTGGCCTTGCCCTCCTAGATGCCTTGGTGGAGGTCGGCCTAGTCTCAGACACATCTTTATACTACAGCTGCCACTGCCCGCTCTACTTCACATTCTCTGGGAAGGGCTGGCTTTGGTCATGTGTCTGCTCTGTGCGTGGGGGCAGGGATTCAACTCTGAGCCTCCCAAGGAGTGCTGTTGCTAGAGGAGGGGAGGTGGAGACTGCCACCATATGTCCTCCCCATCCCTTAGACCTTGTATGGCAGCTCCCAAGTTCAACCCCAGGAACCGCCTGCTGGGGCACAAAAGGGGAGATGTCTCTGCTATGGCTTGGATGTGTCCCCTCCCAAACTCACTTGACAGTTAACCCTAGTGCAACAGAGTTGGGAGTGAGGCCTAATGGGAGGCATTGGGAGTGAGGGCCCCGCTGCGGTGTGGATTAGTGCTGCTGCAGAAGGCCTGCAGGGGAGGTTCTCTTCTGCTCTTCTGCCCTAAGGGGACACCAAGAAGGTTCTCAGCAGTGCTGGCCCCTTGACCTTGGGCTTATCAGCCTTCAGAACTGTGAGAAATCTATTTGAAGAAACGTATATAATAAATTTCTCATTTCTTACAGTCCCAGAGGCTGGGCAGTCCCAGGCTTGCTTGGCTTGGTTTGTTTTCAGTGCCGGGGAATAAACTCGGGGCCCTTGTTTGTATGTCCAGGCAGGCGCTCTACCACAGAGCTGCAGCCTAAGTTTCTGCTCTTTGTAAATTTCCCAGTCTGTGGTATTCTGTTATAGTAACACAAAATGGGCTGAAACAGTCCCTTGTTTTCAGCCAGGCCAGCCTCTGAGCACAGCCGCAGGGGCTGTCTAAAGTCACTGAGTGCTGCAGCAGCCATGAGAAGCAAATGCACCTTCTCCCCCTCGGCCGTGCACAGTGGTGGCCGGAGGCTGCAGAAGCACCTAAGATCTGTGAGGCTGGCTGGAGGGAGAGGCCAGGCCACTGGCCCAGGCACACTGTGGCACATTTCACAGGGAATTGGGATGCTGAAGCCACTCCTGCAGAGAAGGCCCGCTTTGTTTTAGATTTTGTGTAGTTCCTGTAGTTTGCATTGTTCCATCTGAAGTTGTCCACTTCAGCCGGTGCTGAGTGTGAAAAGTCAAAAAACACTTCTCTTAAAGGAACCATGGCTGAAAATGTATGTCTGTCAGAGTTGATGGAAACACTTGATAAACAAGACAGGCGCCAGATAGGAGCAATCATCCTGCGTTCTGGGCATTTGTAAAGGTCCAAGATGGTGTCCACAGGAAAGCACCTCAGGCTACAGCCCTGACGTTCTTCCAGGGTCCCTTAAGGCAGTTTCACCTCAGGTAGAGCCCCTCCACCTGTAGCCACAGCTCTTGCTGGAGACTGGGGTGAAGAACCAACCCTCTGTACCTCCCAAACTTTCACAGCTGGTGTCCAGCAGGGCTCAGGTGATGGCAGTGCTGCAGGTCCTCTATAAAGAGGAGGAGCCACCATTCAGAGTGGACCTGGGCTTCTGCTTGCTGTGTTGGCAGCTAGGTGACCCAGCACAACACCTTAGGAGGTCAATTAAAGTAAAAATAAATAAATAAATAAATAAATAAAACCCCTTCTGATCTTTTGACACAGTAACTCCACCCTTGCCTGTGGAAGTAATCCAAAAGCAGAAAAAGCCCTGGCACAAAGATATCCATTGTATTATGTACAATAGTACATAATACATGCGCAGTGCAAGGGATGGTCAGCTATGTTGCCATCCGCTTACTACGGGAAAGTGCAGCTGATCGGCAAGATCATCCCCAGATTACATGGAGCCATGAATACTTATTACGTCCAACAAGCAGCATTCAAACTGTGCACGTGCAGTCGTGTGGTGACTGCCACAGGAAGAGACAACTACATGGGCAGAGCCTAGATGTCAGTAGACAAAGTGAATCTGATTTCTGTGTCAGGGCAAGAAGATTGGCAGTGACTTTTCCTCCTCCCCCCCCACCCCAACTTTGGCTTTTGTTACCTTGATAACAATACAAAGGCTTCTTATGCAAATCGCTGATCCTTAACTTGAAGCACAGTTCTGGTCCAAGAAGTTCTCCATGCAGCCCTTAGTTAAAGGAGTGAGTTATGGGGAAGCAAGTTAGGGATTCTCTGCACAAAGTTTAAAAACAGGCAACCTGGATCATGCTTCAAAAAGCCTTTCTAAATTCCAAGAACACAGATGAAATCATTTTGAAAATAAATGCCTAGTTTGGATCAAATCCGTGTAGCAATGGAACTGTTTCCATGTGGGCTGGACTTATAGTATATTAAGTCCATTCAATGAAATTGTGAAGAGACATTTTCTAAAGGAAGTAAGTCTGGCACATGGCAATTTGTGGGCACACACACCGTCTGCATTTCAGAGACCAGGGGATGGCCCTCCAGAGCATGGGGTGAGTATCAAGAAGAAAAGATGTGCTGGGAGCCATTAGCCAAGTAGGTATGACAATTTCCTTGCCAGCGTACCCCATGTTGCAGTGACATTGAATGTACGTGACCTTGCTCAAGGACCAAGGCAGATTAGGGTGTTCCCGGTTTTAAGATAATCGTGTTTAGGGCGTTCCCAGTTTAGGTTCCAGGTTTAAGGTTTAAGATTATTCCTGCTGGGAATAGGGTGTATCCTGCTGCCTGAGTTCCCCTTGAGTTCTCACGGGATTCAGACAATATATTTTGGAGATAGAAGCCCAGTGGGTGTGGATTTGGGCAGAGAACGTGGATTTCCCCAGAACGTGATTGTAGACGGCTGGTGTGAGTTTGGGAATAAAGAGTTGCCGTTTGAATCTACAAGCTGTGTGGTGGCTCGTGATTGTGTGCCCAGCCAGACTGCGGCATTTGTGCCCAGCCAGACTGCGGCAAAGATGGAAAAGCCACGCAGGCGTGCAGCAGTGAGTAGCAGCAGGAGGAAGAAGGATTCAAACATATTGTCTCACTGATGGCACCTGGCACTCAGGAAGTTCAAGTGGAAGACAATGATTAGAAAGGTGAGGCAGGATGAGTGTATAAAGAGATGATGTGATCAGCTATCTAGAAGAGTATTCCAAGAGGCAGTGAAAACTGAAAAAAGGGATGAGAGATGAATACACTGATTTGGTTTTTAAAAAATCAGTAGGTATATTTCATCCTCCAACTAGGAGATATTAAGAAACCCTTTCACCTAGGAGAAAAAGAAAGAAATGTAAACTATTCAAATAACCTAATGGCAAACAAGCATGATCTGGACACAGAGTTACAAACCTTTGGGTCTCTCCAGTGTGTGCATCTGTTCACACCTCTCCAGGTGCACACCTGCCATCAGTTCAGGCCTCTCCATTGTACACATCTGGGTCAGGGTAGCATTGAAGGATAGGGGAAATCTGTTCCACATGAAGGATCAGCCAATGACCAGGGAGCAGGAAGATGAAACCTAAGACCCAGGAATGGCCAGTACCTTGGAAGGGCCTGAGCCAGTCTAGGGAGGCTGCCCAGTGGGAAAACAGGTTAGAATTTGTGGTTTTGTTTGTTTGTTTTGTTCTGGGATGCAATACAAGGCTTTGTACATACTAGCCACTGAACTACATCCCTATCCCCAAAGGGGCACAGGCTGAAATGTCACCCCAACAGTAGATTGTTGTCAGTGGCAACAACCTGGAAGCAGCCTAAATAAGCCCTTTTGGGTCCATGGGCTGCCCCAAAGAGTAAAATAAGCATATGCTCCTGCACAGAAGTGTCCATCATACATTGTTAAATGAGTGGACAAATGGTGGGATCTATTTATGAGAAAGTATCTTGTTAAGATAGGGATGAGTTTATGAGCTACCAGAAAATATTCCAAAGCGCGTTGCATTAGTATGCTAGGGCCGCTGGGACCAAGCAGCATGCACTGAGTGGCTTAAACAAAAGAAGTGCATTGAATGCATTGTCTCCTAGCCAGAAGCCAGAGGCTGAACTCAGGTGCCTGCAGGCTTCTCCGGGGCCAGGGGATGGATCAATTCAGGCCTCTTTCCTTGGCTTGCAGATGTCCACCTTCTCCCTGCATGTATGTCTGCCTCTAGCTGTCCCCTTTATGTACGTATGCCAGTCAGCCTAGCTTAAGGACACTCTAATGACCTAGCTTTAAACTGAGTACCTCTTTTAAGACCCTATTCTTAAATAAGCTTACATTCTGAGATGTGGAATTAGGAGTTCAACCCATAACACATATACACCACTTTTTGTTTGTTTTTTATTTTTTTGATACTGGGGACTGAACCTAGGGCCTTTCATATGATGGGCAAGCACTCTACCACTAAGCAGCAAACCCAGAACCCCCTTTTTGTACTAGAGATTGAACCCAGGGGTGCTTAACCACTGATGGGTTATGACAGTGACCATATACACCATTGTAACAGTTGCTCTGGGCAACAGTGTGGGGTAGAGGTAGGAACAGTTTTTTCACTTCATAGAAGGCTGACAGTTTTGATTTGCTTGAGAGGATGGCCAAGGGATTGTATGTCAAGGACCTTGTTCTAAACACTATCTAGTGCTGACCAAGGTGGGGAGTGGGCTGCACTCAGCAAAAGGACCTCTGAGGCTGCTCCTCACCTCTCCCAGGTAGAGAAGACATTTGGAAGCCCTAGCTTTTAATGGCAGGAGCTGTGGCACCCCCAGCCAGGTGCCCCTGGCCTCAAGAAGGTTGGGAAGCTGCCTGCAGAGCAGCCCCAGTCTCTTTTGGGCACCTCACAGGAGCCTCTGGAGCGGTCTTGGATGCTAGGGCAGTCCACCCCCAATGTCCTCCGAGTTGTTACCTATCCATCCACAAGGCCGATAGCATGGCCACCAGGATGGGGGATAGCTGAAAGCATACCAGTTCAGCCCCTCCACTCCAGATCAGGCTGCTGCAGGGGTGGGGGTTCTTCCTTGCTGTTTCTGGGGGTGGAAACTGGGATCCCAGCTGGCTCACACACGGAGGAGGAGGCATATCACCCCGAGCTCTATCAGACATGGACCATCCCTCTGAGGGTCACCTAGAGGTGCCTGCCCAGCCAGGAGGGAGAGCCTTCCACAAGGGGAGCAGTGGAGGTGAGGTGCCTGCTCAACAAAGCTTCTAGGGGACACAGAGGCACTTTGAGACCCAGGTAGCCTTGAGTACAGGCTGGGCATTGTGGAAGGTGGGTGTAGGGGGCCTCCCTCTTGGCTCTGCCTCTCCACGTTCAGATCAGGCCTTAGATAGGGTGGTGTTGAGCCCCCTGCGAGGCCTCCAGGCTCTGCACCGTCCAGAGGGCTGGGTGTCCATACTGCAGTCTCCCCCTGGAGTATTACACGGGTGGGGCAGGGGGCAGTGTGAACGGTGTACAGACGGTGAAAGGTTGCCCTCTTGGGCTCCTTCTGGTCTGTAAGCACTGGTGACCTCGCCAAGGACCCACACATGGCTGTCCCAGGTCGGGCGCCTGGGGCAGGGGAAGTGAGGACCCACTAGGGCAGTTGGCCACAATTGAGGCTCCAAGAGGGAGCCTGCATGGTCTGGGCAGGGCAGGCGCATATTTCTGTCCTCAGAGTCCTCAAGTCCTAGGAGGGCTATGGCAGTGCTCTCTGCGCCTGGCAGCCGCGGCAGCCCCGGGCCTCAGAGGAAGCTGAGGGAGCTGGGCAGGGCAGGGCCAGCCTCCAGGGGGCAACTCCAGGACTCAGGGAAGAGCAAAGCAAAGTAAGCGACCCACACGTTGGCAGAGCTGTCATTACACCCTTGCTGAGAGCCATAGCTAAGTAAGAATGACGCATGGCATGACCCAGGTCATTTGCAGTGACATTGCATGAAAGGTGACCTTGCTCAAGGACCAGGGCGGATCTGGGTTTAGGGCGGATCAGTGTTTAGGGTGCTCCTTGGGTTTAGGGCGGTTCCAGGTTTAAGGTGTATCCTGTTGGGAATAGGGCGTATCCTGCTGCCTCCAGGTGCCCACTCCTTGAGTTCCCGTTGAGTTCCCACGGGATTCAGAGAGTATTTGGGATTCAGAGCCCTGTGGAGAGTGTGAATTTGCCCCAGAACGTGCCTGTAGAATGCCGATGTGAGTTCGGGAATAAAGAATTGCTGTTTGAATTTACAAGGCTGTGAGTGGCTCGTGATTTTGTGCCCAGCCAGACTGCGGCACACCCTCTCAAAATGGGCGGAAGGACTCCGGCCTCACTCCCGCTCCATGGCTCACCACTTCATGGCTCACCACTTCAAAGGAGAACTTACAAAAGGGTCTAAAGGTGGAAGTTAAAGCAGCGAGCTTTCAGAAGAACTCACAGGAGAACAGTGTCATCCAACAAGGCCGGTTCCTCAGACACAAAAATACAAAGGACAAAAAGGCACAGTGAACTACATTAACATTTAGAGTTCTCTCTCTCTCTCTTTTTTTTTTTAAAAGAGAGAGAGAGAGAGAGAGAGAGAGAGAGAGAGAATTTTGAGTATTTATTTTTCAGTTTTCGGTGGACACAACATCTTTTATTTGTATGTGGTGCTGAGGACCGAACCCAGCGCCCTGCGCATGCCAGGCGAGCTCGTTACCGCTTGAGCCACCTCCCCAGCCCCTAGAGTTTCTCTTGATCCAACGGAACCGGAACCTTTTCGACAATGAAAAGCGGAGTGGGAGGAGGTCTTTGCAATGGCTACGACACAAAGCATTCAAATCCAGAACTGTGAAGAGTCTAGAACTGGAGAAGAAAAGGCAGAGACCCCCAAAGAAACATCAGCAAAATTGTGAACAGGCCCTTCACAGAAGAGGCCCTCCAGTTGTCCGGCAGCGCGAAAGAGGCCCCTCGCTTGTCATCAGTGGAGGAACAGAAGTCAGCAGGGGACGTCGCTTCACACCCATCCGTCCGGATGAAGCTGGATAACCCAGAGGGTGGCAAGCAGAGGCGAGGACCTGAAGCCGCCCCCAGCACAGCAGGCGGGGCAGAGCTTCCCGCTTCCAGGAGCCCTGACCCTTCCAGCAGGGCGGTGCCTGTGCCCCAGTCCCCTGCACTGGGTGCCCTCAGGAGGGCCAGCACTCTGCCGCAGGAGTCCAGGCCATACGCTGAGGTCTGGGGAGACACCCGAGGGGCGGAGGAGAGGGGCCCCGCACGGCCAGTGGCCTCCACCAGCGCCCACCCTTGCCCTCCGCCACAGTAGCAAAGCCTTGGTGTCCAGCTGGGCATCCGATGCCACGCTGCGTGGCTGGCACCTCAGCTCCGACGTGGGCCTCGGGCGGGAGGACTCTTGTCCTGCTTGCTGGGCTCTCCGAGGTGGTCTGATCAGGCGTGCTCTTCCCCCAGGCCTGCCTGACCGGCGGCGGGGCTCCTGGGCTGTGCTGGCCGCAGGGGCACCGGCGCGCTCCCTGCCCATATGGCCTCCAGGTCCTGCTGAGCGCATGCGGGTCACCCTGGCTCCTCAGCTCCAGAGCCCGGCTGCTCGGGTGGGGCTCTGGCATGCACCGAAGGACCCACGGGCAGCGGACACCTGCGCTGGCACTGGACCTGCGGGCCACTCCCGCACTGCCCCCGGCCCTGCCTGGGCTCCTGCCTTCCGCCACCCGCTGTTCAGCCAAGATCCCGGACTCGGGATCCAAATATCATATATGAGCGCTCCTCATATATGATATATGGACATATGCACATACAGACATACAACACAAAACACAAGTGTGCACACATAACACAATACATACAACACATAACATAATAGTAAAGGCCTTGTAGCTTTTTACAGGTGAAATCTCCATTGCAATGTTTAAAAACTCTACAGTCAAAAAATAGAAATGATCAGAAAAACATTAACCTAGGTCTGTATGAGCTCAAAAAATAAAATAGAACATCATGATGTGGGAAAAGGCAATAATAAAATAGATATTGAAAAAGACATCCCGGTTACCACCTGGGTTTGACTCTTTTTTGGATATCCCATCCTTTTTCCTGCAACTTGCATAATGGGTCTGAAGGTATTCCCACAAGCAAGCCCCAAGGTTTTTTACATTTGAAATAGGCTTTAATGGTGTTCATTATTCATTAGCCTCCAGGTGTGGGAGAACCACTGTGGCAGATGTAAGAATAGCCAAGATGGAGCTCTGGATATCAGCTGTTATGGATTTGAGCCAAGTCATCTTCTTTTTGGTCTGTAGAAATCGCTTTGGTTAGTCTCTCTGGAATCCAAATCGGCTGCTGTTCTCCCTGTGGAAACACACAAACAGAACCCCAACTCCAGACAATCACTGGGTCAGGACCTTTCCATTGTCCTGTTAGAATATCCTTCCAAAGTACCTTGGGCTTATGACATTTTTTGGATACATATGCCTTTCTGCAGCACTAAGCCCTGATGAATCCAAATTTTAAAAGTTTAGAGTAAAAAGGGTTATTTTAAGTTTATCTTTGGGGGATATATACCCCTTCCCAATTCCCTCTTTTTGCTTTAATAAGTGCATTTTAATAGTTTGATGAGCTCTTTCAACTATGCCTTTTCCCTGTGGATTGTATGGGATTCCTGTTATGTAAGTAATGCCAAATGATGAGCAAAATTGCTTAAAAGAGGTAGAAGTATAACCAGGTTTCTAACTCTGTTGACTCTTTGTCCCTTTGCTAATTAAAGGGTTTGTTTTTTGTGATTGTTCTTGAGAGTAAGCAACAACACACAACTGTGGATGTAAAAATACAGCTTTCTATGTCTGAAAATTCAGAATAGGAAAAACAAAAACACCAAAATGAGAAGAAAGTAAGCTCGGCTAGTAATTTGCTACCCCCCCCCCCCGCCCCCTGCGTCCCCCCACGTGCTCTCCCTGTGTGGAGGCTGATCTCAGTGAACTCTGCAGCCACTGCACTGGGCCAATCTTCTTCTTTTTTCTCTCCATGCTGGGGATTGCACCCAGGGCCTTGCACATGCTGGGCAAGCCCCACCGCTGAGCTGCAGCCCAGTGCAGACATGATCTTCTGAAAGGAAGCCTATCTTTGCTAGGCTCTTGATTCACTTAAAAAAATAATTATTATGACGTTGCTTTTCTTCAAATAAGGGAGAAAGGAAGTATTTTCTAAATAAAATTTAAAGTGTATTGTATTTATTGATTTACTCAAAATATATTTATTGAGCACATACAACACCCAGATTCTGCTCAAGGCTGTGGGGCTCATGAGTAGAAAACAAAGAGACCAAATCCCTCCCCTAGTCATGCTTAGATTCTGCTGGAGAAAACCTGTCAATAAGCAAAGAATGAGCTCCTAAGAAGGTCTAGGGCAGGTGGGCACAGTGACGGTGCCTGTCATCCTGGCCACTCAGAAGGCTGTGATGGGAGGATGGCAAATCTGAGGCCAGCCTGGGAAAATCAAAAAATACAAAGGACTGTGGGTGGCATTCAGCGATAGAGCACCCTGGGTTCAATCCCAGTATGGGGTGGGGGTTAGTGGGGGGAGGGAGAAAGAAAGGGCCAAGGCAGAAGGTGGCGGCCGAGGGCTGGGAGCTGGGACTGGTGTTGGAGGGTCAAGAAGGCTGCCCGTTGGCCAGATCTGAAGATGGATGAGGGGGTGTGAGGGACAGAGGGCTCCAGTGTCCTGGGGCAGGGCGTCCCTGGAGGACCAGCAAGGTGGCAGTGACCGTAGCGTGGGAGGGGCAGGCGGTGAAAGGGATGAGGTCACATGGAGGCAGAGGCTGGTCAGGTGGACCTCACAGGCCACAGAGGGGATCTGGGGTTTTACTCTTAGGGAGGTGGAGAGACAGGGGACCTGAGCAGAGGGGCCCCTACCTGCCTCTGTCTTTGGAGGGTTCTAGTCCAGCAGACTGGAAGGCAGGCAAGCAGGGAGGCGAAGGCCAGTTCCTGGGTCACTGTGTCTCTGGGAATGGGGACTAAGCCGTGGCAGTGGCAGGAAGAGGACTGGATCTCCATGCCTCCTCTGGAGGCTGAGGACACAGGCTCGGCTGGCAGAGTGGGGAGGGCTCTCAGGAAAGACCCGCTGCCTGTGAGCTGCTTCCCAGTCTGAGCATCTGCAAGAACAGGGATGATGCTCTGGAGCGAGGGAAGACAGGAGAGGTGGCTGGGGCACCAAACGGCCAGCTTCTGTGACGGTCACTGCCTTAAGCCTTTCCTCCTTTCCCAGGTAGGTCTTTGTTACCAATTTACAGTACAGCTGTGAAGTCCCTCTGACGCCTGGTGGGGCATCCGCCAGCTGTCATAGGCTTTAGATACTTCAGTATCTTCTGATTTCATTTTTGATTGACTCATGGGTCACACTTTCCAAATATTTGGGGATCTTTGAGGCCTGTCTGCTTTTGATGTCCAGTGAGCCTGTCATGGTGGAGAGCACATTCTGCAAGGCTTGGAATCTGAAGGGGCCTGACGCAGTGTGGGGCTCGCTGCTCTGAGTTCATGGTTCAGTGGGGATAATCTCGGGCGGTGTCAGAGACATCTGGGGATAACGTCACTGTTCTCGGTGTGCAGTAACCTGTGATGGAGATGCCACCCCTGACGTGCCTCATGGGGTGGGCTGTCCCCACCCACGGGAGACTGTGGAGGTCATTGCTCTGGAGATGGCAGCTCTCGCCTGAGATTCCAGGGTACTGGGATGCTTCATTTGCAGTGACCCCCAGCAGTGTGAGAAAATAAGCCAACTCCCAGAGCCATGAGTGTTGAACTGCTTGGGGTAAAACAGCCCAAAGTCCCAGAGACATTATTTCAAGCTTTATGGATGTGTTCAAGAACTGTAAAGCAGAGGATTATTTGGAAAAGATGGTGTAGTGTAAACTCAGCTGCATAGACATATGGTTTGTTGGTGGAACTGGAGGCAGACCAGATATTTATCCTCAGTGAGGTGATGCTCTGAAGAAGCCTCGCATCCAAGGTGGGATTCAGAGTACCATGAGCAGTTGCGCAAGTGTGCAACTGCACAACTAGAGGCCTCCATTAATACCCCACCCAATAGTATATGGCAGAAGCTTGGGCCAGGGTGCAACCTTTGGCCTTAACATGTCAGATGACTTTCACTTTCTGAGCCAGCTACTGTGAATCTGAGCGCCCCCAGGGGGATGGACCCCACAAGATTCCCCGGCTCCTAGCAGTGTAGTTCCCCACAACTCTTGGGGCCTTGCCCATGGAGGCTCAAACATGTCCTTGTAGGAAGGTATGACAGACAGACCCTAGGAAGCCCCCAAGTTCATGGCCTGAATAATCCCTTCCCCTGGAGTGGGTGGGACGTGGGACCTGCTTGTAACCAGTAGACTGCAGTCGGCCCCTCACGTCCATGAATTCTGCGAGTTCAACCAAACATAGATTGAAAGTATCTGAGAAAAGAACAACAAAAGAATCACCCAGGGCTGGGAGAGCAGCTCAGTGGTGAGGTGCCGGCCAGGCATGAACGGGGCCCTGGTGCCATCCCAGCACCACACCCACAACAGGAGAAGTGAGTCAGGGCTGGGGATGGACCTCGGCGGCCGAGCACTTGCCTGGCAGGTATAGGGTCCTGGGCTCTGTCCCAGCGCCACAAAAAACAAAGCAAAACCAGAAATAACACAAATAAGAATGCACTTGGCCTCACCGCTGTTGGCCCCTCGGTTCCAATGCGTTGGGTCCCGGGAACACAGGCTCTGTAGATGCTGGACGCCACGCTGCCTTGTGGGGGGACAGGAGCAGCACGGGCTGGTGTCGCCTCTCCATATTCCCAGCACATACTGGTGTCACACAGGAGTGCTGGCAGAGGCCTCCCGATGGGTGGCAGGTGCAGGGCCCTGGTCACAGTGCTGGGAGAAGGGGACGGGTGAGCTGCCCAGCAGGCCCCCTGGGACCAGCCGGCGCCGGACCTTGCAGCCTGCCAGCACTGCTGTCCTGGTCCAGTGGCCGGGCCACGCCTAGACTTCTGATCCAACAGGACATGTGTGCTGTCTCTGGTGACGTGTCACACAGCAATGGGAGCTGACGCAGAGAGTCTTGGGACACAGCCCAGTTGGAAGAATGAGAGGGAACTTGTCCTCAGGGCGAGTTCTGTGACATGTTTGGGGTGACCCGGGCACTCATGGAGAGCATGGGAACAAGTCCCCGCTGGCCACCCTGGGACTCGGCAGCAGGGACCCACAGCGTGGAGGAGGCAGGGCTGGACGTGAGCTTGTGAGGAAGGATACGTTCTGGAACATTCTAGTACAGTTAATTGCTATGAAAAGGATTGCTGTTATTTTAACTTTTAAATTCAGTTTGGTTAGGTCAGATCTTAAAAATTATAAAGCAATACCTAAAATGTCACTCAGGAAAGTATAATACACAGGCACAGTTAAAAGCGACAGTTTAAGAGGGGACACGCATTTCCTTCCCACCTCAGTTCCCCACCAACGTTCCCCTGAGGCGGCAGGGTTGAGTTTGTACTGTGATCTGCTCGAGAGTTCAGTGGGCAACTGGGACCTTATTTTTATGTTCTTTTTGTTAGGTCGGTTGAGGTGGCTAAGGGACAAGGCACTAGGCAACAACCAATCAGGTGCCAACAGACAAGCAGTGATAACCACCTGCCAATCAGCGGGGTCTCCTGACTGATCCTGGAAAGACATGGAGCTCAGCAAGATCCCCGGCCAACCCCAGGAGGACAAAGATCCTAAAAACCTCCCTTCCTGCCCTAAGCCCAATAAAATTCCAGTCCGGCTGAGCCTGGGTACGACTCCCCCGGACCCCCTCTGTTGGACAGAAGGGTCTCTTTCGGGAGTGAATCTCAATAATCTGCCTCCTTTTGGTCACCGGCGCCTGACCTTACACTTTTCACTTAACTATTTTAGTCAGCTTTTTTGCTGCTGTGACAAAAGGACCCTCCAGAACAATTATAGAGGAGGAAAAGTGTATTTGAGGGCTCACGACATTTTCAGGTCTCCCTCCATAGACAGCAGACTGCATTCTTGGGGCTCGAGGTGAGGCAGACCATCATGGCTGAAGACTGTGGCAGAGGGAAGCAGCTCACATGATCAGGAAGCAGAGAGAGACAAGTCTATACCCCAAAGCTACATCCCAATTCCCACCTCCTCTAGCCACTCCCACATCAGTTGCCACTCAGCTAATCCCCATCCATCAGGGGATTAACTCACTGATGGAGTTAAGACTCTCACACCCAATCTTCTCCTCTGAATCTTCTTGCATTTTCTCACACATGAGATTTTGGGGGACACCTCCCATGCACGCCGTAATAGCAGTGTTGTTCTGCTGCTGCCGATCTGTTTCTGTCGGTGGCTGCAGGATCACCCATGTGCAGTGGACACATGTCCCTTGCCTCACCCTGCCCCAGGAAAACACCTCAGCAATCCTCCCGGCTAAGGCCAAGATGTCTCCATTGTCTCCTTTGTAAATGATGACTGCGGTGTCTCCCCCACACCTCCCGCCCCTGGTGGGATAGGTGTAGGTGCATGCCTGTGCCTGTGCAGCGTCCCCCGGGAGAGCTAGAGAAAGCCCCAGAGCCTTTCTGGTGAGGTCTCTGCTCCTCAAGCCAAGGCTTTGCATGGGAGCCCAGGCCACCCTTCATCTCTGGGCTTTGGACCAGTCCTCCTGCTCCTTCCCAAGAAGAGCAGAGGGTGGCCTCTAGTGGCCAAGCTGACAAGCTGTCCCATCCCGGCAGGTGTGGCCCAAGCAGCCAAGACCCATCATCTACCTGGGGCTGGTGCCACCTGCCTCTTCCACAGACGTGAGGATAGAGGGTTGATGGCTCTGTGTGAGATTCCCGCGTTGCAGGGTTGACTTTCCTAAGAAAGAGGATTATTTTTGCAAAACAACTTGCTGGGTTTTCTGCAGGGCCTCCCTGACACCTTTGATATTTAGATCACTCTCTTTGAAGCACCTCCACAGACCTTTACTCTGTATTTGACATGCCAGTTGGGTACTTTCATTCTGTGACCTGCAGGGACACCGAGTCACAAAGCTGATCGGGGAGGGACAGCCCTGTTCTTACCTCTTTTAAATAATGCCTTTGCCTGAGAATAGTTTCATATTCACAGAACAGTTGCAAAGAGAGTGCAGAGGAGTCCCACATGCCCATGCGGTTAACCCTGTTGTTCTCATTATATAACGAACCCATGTCCACACACATTATTTTTAACTAAAGCTTATACCTATAGTCCTCCCCTAACACCCCTTTATATAGTCAGGACACTGTCTGGCATTGGGTTGTTACGGTTCCTTGCTCCTATTGGCTGTGCCAGTTTTTCAGACTTTCCCTGTTTTTGATGACCTTGACACTTTGAAGACATATACATTATAGAATGTTCTCCATGTGAACTTGCCTGGCATTTTTCTCACAGTTAGACAGAGGTTATGGAATTTTGGGAGAGGACATGTGTGTTCTCAACATGTCTCAACATAGGAATATGCACCGTCCACAGCTCCGATGATGATGTTAACTGAGACCTCCTGGCTGAGCAAGAATTCGCCAGGTTTCTGCACTGAAAATTTACTTTTATTCTCTCATTATCATTTTTTTCAATCTTAAAAATTGTATTGTTTGCACTGCTGTCTGCTGATATGTTTCTGTTAGTGGCTGCAGGATCACCCATGCAATCCACACAAGACAAATTTGGCATTTCAAAGTGTCCCACTTAGTTGCTTTCAGTCAATTTCCAAAGTTGCGCAGGCATCACCACTAGCTGATTCTAGGACATCTGCAGCTCCACCCCAGGAAGGCATAGCCGCCTGTCGGAAACCCACCCACGGCACTGTGGATCCTGTCCCCCACTCTGCCTTTGTCCCTGATGACTGGCCTTTCCTGGAGATCTCCTACTCATGGGGTCCCATGGAAGTGGACTTTGTGCCTGGCTGCTTCTGTACGGGGATCATCCTGCTGTGGACGTGTCAGGACCTCAATCCTCTAGGAGGAATAATGTGATATTGCTTGAATGGGCCTTTTTTTGGTTTGTCCCTTCATTAGATGAGGGGCATTTGAGTGGTTTCCACTTTGGGTTATTATAAATAGATTGCTTTATGCACAATTATATTACTCTAATTAAAAATATGGAAGAATAAAATATAAAAATGAAATTTTTATTTGTAAGAAGCAAACATAAATAATGCTGCTATGATCATTCATGTAAAAATTTTTGCATGGACATGTTGCCATCAGCTCTCTCGAGCATGCCCCTAGCAGTGGAACGGCTGAGTCACCTCGCCAGGTGATTTTATGCTGAACATTTTGAGGAGTACCTGTTCCCTCCCCACGGCTGCCCCATTTTCCATGTTTACCAGCAATGCCTGCAAGTTCCAATTTCTCCACATCCCTGCCAACACTTGCCATTTTCTGTTTTTATTTTTATTATAGCCAGTTTAAGGAGTATGAAGTGGCATTTTTTTGTGATTTCTATTTGCATTTCCTTAATAACCAATGATGTTGAGCATCTTTCTTCTTTTATTGGCTGTTTATATACCTTTTTAAAAATTTTTTTTCATGGCTGGGGATGAAGTCCAGGGCTTTGCACCTGCTAGACAAGTTCTCCACCACTGAGATACAACTCCAGACCCCTAGATATCTTATTTATTTTATTTGTTATTTTCTTGTCTATTTATTTATTTACTGGTACCAGGGATTGAACGCAGGGGCACTTAACAACTGAGCCACATCCCCAGTCCTTCTTTTTTTTTTCATTTTGAGACAGGGTCTTGCTAAGTTGCTTAGGTCCTTGCTTAGTTGCTGAGGCTGTTCGCAAATTTGTGATCCTCCTGCTTTGGCCTCCTTAGCCGCTGGATTTCAGGTGTGCCTCGCGATGCCCAGCCTATGTATCTTTTTTAAAGATGTGCTTACTCAAATCCTTTGCTCGTTGGAGCATTTGGGTTTTTGTTGTTGAGTTGTAAGAATTCTTTATATATTCTACATACAAATCCCTTATTAGATACATAATTTGCAGATATTTTCTCCTAAGCTATGCATTGCCTTTTGATGGCAAAGCTTTAAACCTTGATCAGGTCAAATTTATCTATTTTTTTTCCCTTTCTTTTTTTGGGTGGAGGTACTGGGAATTAAACCACTGGGTTACATCCCCAGCCTTTTTATTTTGAGACATGGACTGGCCAGGTTTCCAAGCTTGGGATCCTCCTGCTTCAGATTCTGAGTTACTGGGATTATAGGTAGTGCCACTGCACCTGGCTCCTTTTTATTTAATATTTTTTTTGTAGTTGGACACAATATCTTTATTTATTTTTATGTGGTGCTGAGGATTGAACCCAGGGCCTCTCTCATAAGAGCAAGTGCTCTACCACTGAGCCACAACCCCAGCCCTCTTTTTCTTGCTTGTGAATTTGGTGTCATATTAAGAAACCATGGCCTGATCCAAGGTCATGACAATGTCAACCTATGTTTCCTTCCTGAAGTTTTGTTCAAGCCTCTGGTCCACCGTGCGTGATTTTTCCGGGTGGGGTGAGGTAGAGCCCCAGCTTCGTTCTCCGGCATGTGTAGCCAGTTGTCCAAGCAACATTGGTTGAAAGACTGTTATTTCCCCATGGAATGGTCTTGGCACCTTGGTTGAAATCAGCTGACTGTTGATGTTGGGGTCTATGTCTGGACTCTCAACTCTATTGATCCGTGTGTACCAGGGGCCCACATTATGCTTTGAAGGTAGCCCTTGCTGCTCTGTCACTGAACTGGTTTTTAAAATGGACGTGTTTCTTCCTCCTCTCTCCCCTTTCTTCTCTAATCTCTCTCCCTCCCAGATCTCAGGAGAAGCAGGATTACCCCACCCTAGGCACAGATTTATCTTGTCCTTGAGTACACGCCCCCCCCTCCCCTATAGGAAGGAAGCATTCCAGACTTTGGGGGATGGCACCAAAGATCTCAGAAATGACATCTCCTAAGTTAACTCCAGAATCACAATGGAGAACATCACCTCTGTAAAAGCCCCCTCTTCCTGCTGATACCCAGAATCACAGACTCTGGGGGCAGGAGTCCCGTGTTTCTCCTCTGCCAGCAAAGCAATAAACCTTCTTTTTCCTTTTCCTCAAAACCATGTCCTCGTTATTGGATTGGCCCTGGGGATGAGGACCGAGCTTTCTGGCATTGGTGCACACATACCAGTTCCACACTGCCTTGGTCACTGTAGCTCTCTAGCTACATTTGAAATCAGGAAGTATGAGTCCTCCAGATTTGGTCTTCCTCTTTCAGGATCATTGTGGCTACTTGAGGTCCCTTCCATATACATTTTAGGGTCAATTTGTCCATTTCTTTCATTTTTGGCAGGGTCCTGGAGAGCAAACCCAGGGCCTCACCCATGCAAGGCAGGTTCTCCACTGAGCTCTGTTCCTAACCCTCAGCTTGTCCAGTTCTGGGGGAAAAGGGGGGCATTTGGAATTCTGATACTGATTACTTTGAATCAGAGTTCAATCTGGGAAGTATGGCCATCTTGACAATATTAAGTCTTCCCATCCATGGACATGAGCCGTCTTTCCATTTTTTCAGGTCTTTAATCTCTTTCAATAATTTTGTTTGTTTGTTTTTAGTGTACAAGTGTTAGAAATTTTGGTTACATGTTTCCTAAGTATTTAAAATATTTTTTTAGTTATAGGTGAACACAATATCTTTATTTTATTTTTATGTGGTGCTGAGGATCGAACCCAGTGCCTCACACACTCTAAGTGAGCGATCTACCTCTGAGCCACAACCCCAGCCCCTATTCCTAAGTATTTTATTCTTTGGTAAGCTATTACAAATGGATTTTTAAAAATTTCATTTCTAAATTGTTCATAACTAATGTAGATAAAGTATAACTGATTTTATGTGTTGATCTTTGTCCTTCAACTTTTATGA